CTGGGCACAATCTGGATTGTTTGAAAGTCAGGTAATCTAGAGCAGAGGAGAGACTCTTTTTTATTTTTTTAATTAAAGGCCAGAAGTCTATTCCAAGAGGCCTCCATCACACTGTAGATTATTTTGGATCGTGGAAATATGGGAAAAATGAAAAAAAAAAGATTGCCTTTTCACTGTGATGAATATGTACAACAGTAAACAAAATAATTTTGCACCCTATCACATTTACCCAAATTAAAAAAATTTGAAAGAACTAGCACAGTTGAATAATTTTTTTTGGTCTTTTTTTTTTCCTTTCTGCATTTGCATGTTGCAAACCAAGAACTTGATATTTAGTTCCAGCTTCAGTTGGTCTTTCCAAAAAGCCTCTGTCATCTATGATCTCAAGCCTGTTTTGATTCAAGTCATGTGTGAAAAATGTTGATTCCCAATAGGACTCTAACATTTCATGAGACTCACTTTAAACAGGGGAGGAGTTTTGCTGAAATTTGTGTGATGGCCTTGTAACTGCTATTGTGATGGGGAAGGGCGGAAAAAAAAAAAGACCAAACCAGTTGTTCCCCCAAAATCTTAAAAAAATCAGAATGATTTTTATTCAGCTGTAAGCTTGTCTTTGTATTGTTATCACAACTAAATCCCAGTTTGTGTTCATTTAGTTGAGCAGGCAAAAAAGACCACGTCAAGTGTCACAAGAGGATATATGTTCTTTGAAGACTATGGGGTCCCATCTGCCCTGATTGCTATGGTTTTGCCTGTTTGGGAAGGGGAAGGCAAACTATATCAAGATTAGGGCTAGGCAGAAAATTCCCAGGAAATTGTCCCAATAAGTGGGAGATCTGGGAATGTGTAGCATTAGCCTCAACCAATTTCATCCTCTGCCCTTGTCCAATTTCGTTGTTGGTATCATCAGCAAATACCAGGGCAAACATTTTTTTCCGTTCTTGGGAAGTGAGCTAGGGATACTTTATATACTTCTGAAATCTTCCTCCCCACCTTCTCCCCCGCCCCCAATTATTAGGACTCAGTATGTAGTGCTTTCAATACTACAGCTGTCATTCAATTATCTCCATATAGATCATGTTCTTTGATCAATTATCTGAGCTTGAATTTTTTTTTTTTAATTGAAGCATAGTTTCTCCAGTCCCTGGAGCTATACTCTGTGGTTAGGTTCCTTTTGACATAGATCTAATTTTCATGAGGACGTGCTACAATCTTGAGCAGTCTACTAGTTGCAGGGACCCATGAAGCTGTTTTCCCCCCATTGTGTGTGCATGACAAATCATTAATTTGTGATGGATTGCTTGGAATTGTGGGTGCCCGCCATTCTTCCTGTAGCTGAACAGCTGTATGAGAAATGAACATATCAGTGCTTGTGAAAGATTGGAGAGCTAGCCAAAGCAATTATATTGGTGCAGCCCATCCCCCAACCACCAGACTTTCCTGGGCAATGAAGGGAGAAAATTTTTACCAGAAATTTCTCAAGTGGCTTTAAAAAAAAATGAGAGAGAGGAAAAAAAAATTATGCCTTTTTGTAATTGAATTAAATCTTTATCTCTTCATCTCTTGCAGCAAGCTTCCAATACACATTGGTCCCCCAAGTGCCTCCATCTCAGCTAGGCAAGAGAAATATTCAATAATGAAATTTTACCTCATGAATTTTTTTTAAGGAAATAAAATTGTGATTTTATTTTATTTTATTTTTTTGGTGACAGTGGTTGCTATTCCTTTAAGATTTCGGAAGCATCCCAGTGCACTAAATGTGACCTCCATAACTTTTAAATTAAGAATTTGTGCTGGCTTGAAATTTATGAAATATTTCAGCATGAAAGAAAGCCTTTTTCCCTCAGGAAAATTGAGCAATAAATCAACAGTGCTGTGGATTTACTGCCCTACAGCCAGCCAGAGATAGGATTTTTTTTTCTTCATTCTGAAAAAAAAAATGTAATCATATAAGACAGCTTAGTTGCCATCCTCCCACTCCCTAGAATTTTTAATTTCAGCTGTTTCTGCTTGGATTTATTTCCAATATTCCTGCTCGGCTTTTCAATTTCCTCAGTTATTAAATTTTAATTCAGTGCATTAGCATTTAAATTAAAAAAGGGTTTATTTTATCGAAATCGTTGGCTGGCCCCCATCCTGTAGCACACGAATTGCCTGTTCCTGCCATTTGCTCAAAATGTGAAATGCAGCTAATGTCTTATAACTTACATTTGCACAAATTCAGAAATAAAATTTCTGGGTTTGGAATAATATTGTCTTTCCAAGAAAACCCGTAATAAGAGGATGGAAAAGAGCAACTGAGGGGCAGATTTTGGGCTGGAGGAGAAGGAATAATAGCATCTCTCAATGAACCAAATTCTAAGGAGATTGTGTTTAGGTATGACTGTAGCTAAAGGAATGAGACTGGATTCCCTTTAGGTGGGATCGGCTTGATAAAGTTCCTTACTCAGAGCATAGTAGGTAGAGTGAAGATTGTGTCTTACCTACCCCAGTGCTTTGATGGGCGCCTTCTCTTTCTGTTTGGCCATTCACATATCTGAGCGAGAGTAGTTGGTCAGCCCTTGATGGGTTTCTGGAGCAGTTGTCTGTGGCTTTCTTTTGGCAAATCCTTGGCTCCTCTTGGCGCTTCACTATGGGCTCATCACTTGAAGGGATTGGTAGCATCCATTCTACTTGAGAGCAGGGCTAAAAGCACTCTCTTTACTCTTGATCTCATAGGCGGCAATTCCCAACTTTTCTGTGATTGCCATTCTCATGCTGTTGGCTTGATTTCATCTGCCAAAGAATTCCATTGAGTGTATGGGTTTTCCAAATCAAAGTTAATTAAAATTAATACCATTTTTGAGAATTTTTGCAGAATCCCCCAGACAGTCAGCAGTATCTCTGAAGGTAGGTGGAGGTTGTTAGCAAAACCAGGGCTGGAAATTGCTGGGCGGAAGGTTTATTGAAGTTAGCGGCTTCCCCCAGATAGATTCTGTGTGCCATTCTTGGGCGCAGATAAAGCATATGCTGTTTCTTGATCTCTTTTTACCTGGGGTCCCCAGCTCCAAAGCTTAGATATAATGATTCCCAACAGTCATCTCTGACAACTTGCTGAGAACATACCTGCCTTAACAAATGATGAACTGAATCAGACTTTACTTTCTGGCTCAGTAGCCAGTAGGGTTACTTGCAAACCTTCAACTGGAAATTTCTCTTTTTAAATTCCTCAAGGGCCACCTTCTTACTCCCTATCCCCAGAAAAAAGTACCTTTTACATAGGAGGTATGCAGGTGATGCATTGTGAATGAAAGAATCTCTGCTCTGCAGGTAACTAACTTTGTGACCCTTTTCAAGTTTGGGGGCCCCTTTGTTGTTAATTGTGGATGACACTTCCTGTCTTGGTTTTCGTGAACATCAGATGAGATTATAGATATGAAAGTGCTTCACAAAGCTCAAAGTGCCATGCCAGTATAATTAATAATATTATCTTAATAGTTAAAACACAGCCCCAGTATCTCCATTTTAAAAATGAAGCAATGAAGATTCAGTGTGGTCAGGGGTAAGGAGATAACAGACAGACTGCTATAACCTCTAGCAAGACATCCCTAAGAGAGGAGGGAAAGGCCCAGAAGGTGTGTAAAGGACATAACTGTCTTTGATTTGGAGGCACAGAATCATCATGAAAAAACCCTTTGTCTTTGCGTCTGAGACTTTAGGCAGCACAAAGCATAGTCAGGGATGCACAGAGCACAAAAGAAAACAAATAGACACAGGAAAAGCCACCTACAAACCCACCAGAAATCCTGCACCATAGTGAAGAATCTTTACCTGTCACGAGTATGTATTCTCGCATCATCACTTTCTCTTTTTCTCTTTTCTTTCTCCTTAGATAATTAACTGTGCAGCTACAGTTAGTGGAATAATTGCAGTCTAGACCACCAGCCAAGAGGTCCTGTATCTTTTTGCTTCATAGCACAAGAGTAAGAGGCTGGTGTCTTCATCAGAATTATTGCAAGCAGCAGCTGCCTTCCTGTCCCCACAGCTCAATTGTCCCGTCTTCCTAATTGTGGTAGCACAGATACTCTTAAAAGTGAACTTGTCTTTCTAAATTAGCCTTTTTGGAAACACAACTTAGTGGTCTTTCCTAGGCCCCTTTTCTTTTGTAAATCTAAGAAAGGACTTTCTAGCCTTAACATTACTGCTGAATGTTTCATTACTTAATAAAAGATACAGGGGCCATACTGTTTTCATTCCAATCTCCCAGTTCATTGCACTCATGGTGACTAGAAATGAATTGCCAAAGTCAGCAAATGAGTCATATGCCAAATGGGGAATGAGAACCCAGGAGTCCTGCCTTCTCCCATGTCCATCACCTGCTATTACCTCATCTGTGCAACTTTCATTTGTCAGCATTCCAACAAGATATTAAAAAATACCTTCCACTATCCTTGCGCTTCTTGCCTGCGCTCACGATGGAAGCATAGAATATTTTAATGTAATAGGATTTTTCTCCAGTTGGCAGGAATAAATCTGCTGTTCCTGTTTTATTGGAAATCCCAGCTGAAAATAAAAATGGTGCAATTCAATCTCAGATTTAGCTGGTTACTTACTTTAAACCAAGTCCCTTGGGTACTGCAGTTGTCGGTGTTTGGGGTTTGCAGAAATGATGGGCACCAAGACAGGATTTAAAGGAACAGAACTAAGAGAGCAGAGGTAGAATGAGAGTAGGGTTCTTCTGCCTTGGTACTAGAGTTAGGGTTAGCAGGAAGGAAGGTAGCAGCTTCTTCCATGCATCAGGTTGTGATGTGCCTAACCTTCTAAACAGAAGGAAGTTAGATGCTATTATTAGGGATAAGGAACATCTTTACTCTCTCCCTGAGGCCACTCTAGAGGATTGGCTTGTGCATGGACATGCTGTTTTTGGCTGGGTTGGAGATTCCTGTTGGCGAGGGTGAATCTGGGTATGTTTTTGGCATCCCTTGATATGGGTGTGTTCTGTTTTGTTTTCTGTTTTTTAGGCTGAAGGGGCCGGTGCTACCGGAAGGAGGAACACGGCTGGCAGGTATGTTCCTTCTGAATTCAATTCAGCAGGCATTTATTTATTTTTTAAAAAAATTTATTTTTCCCAATTACAATTAAAAACAATTTTTGATATTTGTTTTTAAAATTTTTTGAGTTTTAAATTCTCTCCCTCTCTCCTCTTTCTACTCCCTGAGATGGCAAGCAATTTGATGTAGAGTTATACATGTGCAGTCATGCAAAACATATTTCCATATTAGTCATGTTGTGAAAGAAAACACAGACCAGAAAGAAACTAAGAAAAAAATAAAGTGAAAAATAGTATGCTTTGATCTACATTCATATTCTATTAGTTCTTTCTGTGGATGTGGATAGCATTTTTCATCATAAGTCCTTTGGAATTGTCTTGGGTCATTGTATTGCTGAGAATAACCAAATCATTCACAGTTGCTCATCATACAATATCACTATTACTCTGTACAATATTCTCCTGGTTCTGCTCACTTCACTCAGCATCAGTTCATTTAAGTCTTTCTAGGTTTTTCTGAAGTCTCCTGCTCATCATTTCTTATAGTATATAGTAGTATTCCATCCCAATCATATACCATAACTTGTTCAGCCATTCCCCAGTTGATGGGCATCCCCTCATTTTCCAGTTCTTTTCCACCACAGAAAGAACTGCTGGAAATATTTTTGTACGTATAGATCTTTTTCCTTTTTTTTTTTTTGATCGTTTTGGGATACAGACCTAGTGTATTTCAGCAGATATTAATTATGCATCTACTGGGTGCAAGGCACTGGGCTAGGCCATAAGGATCTAAAGACCAAGGGAAAAACAGTCACTACCCTCAAGGATTTTACATTCTCCTGAGATTGAGGGTGGAGTAGAGTATGAATACAACCTGTGTACAGAAAAGGAAACACAAGGCAATTTGAGTAGGGAGAGAGTACTAACTAACAGGGGGTCCAGAAAGACTTCGTGTAGGAGGGGCTGCCTCTCTGCATCTTCCCCTCCACTGACCTGGCCTGAGTAAAGCATGATACTAAGAAGGCCAGTATTACAAATTAGACATAGACACATCTATACAAAGGAAAACTTTAGTTCCCAGGCATGATGCTCCCAGAGTCACAGCCATCCTTTCTACAACTATGTATGTATTGTTAGGGACTGAGAAGAGTTGTCCTCCTAACCTTTGGTGGTCTTGTCTAAGAGTGGTACCTCTATCTCATCCATGGGGGATTTCATTAGCTGAAGAGAAAGAGAAAGGAGAAACCACATGTAAAAGTGATGCTGCTGCTTTTTTCTTTTTTTCTCTCTTTTTTCTTTTTTTTCTCTTTTTTTCTTTCTTGTTCAAGATTTTAACTTCAACTCAAGCCTAACCATTTTTTAGCCTTCTATGCCCCTCCCTGTAGAAGAAGAGCTCCCTTAGTCACGTTTTGTATTTTCCAAGCTCTTTCAAAACAGAACAGAGGTAAAATAAAGGTTCTTAAGCTGTCCTGTGGCATCCATCCCCTTTGGCAGTCTGGAAAAGTTTATTCTTAGAATAATATTTTTAAATGCCTAAAATACATATGATGACAAAGGAAAACAATTGTATTGAAATATAGTTATAAAATTTTTTTTAAAGTTCACAGACCGCAGTTTAATAACCTCCATACTAAAATCTTATCCATGTCCTGTGTGTGTTTGTAGAAGAAAGACAAAAACCTCAGCCACATGTTGTCACAACCTTGCTTTGTTCTCTGCTTCATCAGGCTAAGAAAATGGAACTAGCAGGAACCCATCAGTCTACCCCAAAGTGCCCCTGAGAAGACATAAGGAACCTCTGGAACTAGAACGTGCCTATTAGGGCCTGAATCAGACTCACCACTCTTCTTCCTTCCACCCCAGTCTTCCTTCAGGCATCTTTTGCCATTGTCTTCCCCTCCAAGGAAGATTGAATTGGTGTTTGAAGTGTCCATCACTTTTTTTTTCTCTTTGGTTAATCTGTGGGAAATGTGTCCACATTTTGGGAGGCAGGGGGAGCTGAGGTGGAGATGGACTTTGGAAAGCTTTCTTCTTACTCTGGGTTGGCCTTGTGTGGAGAGTGAGATATCATTCATGTCGTTATTGATGGAGCCGAGGAGTGTAGCATGGTAGAGGGAAAGGATCCAGTGTGCTTAGAGTCAGGCCATTTTGGTTGGATTCTGTCTGGATTTTGACCAAGTCTGAACCTCAATTTCCTTATTTCTAAAATGGACATAATCTTACTTTGTCTTCCTGTTCCATTGTGTGTTAAGGATTAATTGAGATGATTAGTCACTGGGCTGCAGAAATATAAGACAATTATTCTGAGGGAATGGGGTAGGGTTGGAATGTTGGTGGGTAAGGGTTCTGCTTCTTTGAGAGAGAGGGAAGTTTAAGAGGGAGGTATTGTGTCAGGGAATGGTGAGGATCAGGGAGAGAAGTTATAATGTTAAAGGGGCTGGAAGAGGATGGCAGATGTGGGAATGGAAGAAAATACACTCTGTGGCATGAGGAAACTTATCTTTTTCCATGGCCAGCATTTCTGATACTCAGACTCTAGCTCTTGAATGACCCACCTGCCATTATTTTAGGGTTCTGATTTCTTCATTCAGATATTCTATTTTTTAATCCATGGGTTACACAGTAGCTTTGAGACTCTTGGTCAGTGATGATCCCAAAAGTGACCCCAGGATCATGTGACCATGTATACCTAGGTGACTGCACTGTTGAGCGATATTTTCATGGGATTCTTGAGAGTTTCTGAAGCCAGGGTGAAAGAAATGTCTACTATGACAAATTAAGGCACAAATTTTTATTAAGTGTTTGGGAGGTATTGAGGGGTACCAAGAGGCATGATCTATTCAAAACATTTACTAAGTACATACTCTAAGGAACTGTATTAGGTACTTGGAATACAAAGATAAAAAAATGACACCCTTTCTGCCCTCAAAGAGCTTATGGTCCATTTTGCATGGATGTTGTGATGAAAAGTAATGTTACATCCTTTGAAACATCTAGGACGGTGTTACAGTGTAGAGACACATGAGGGCACTCTAAACAAATGACATCCTTTTTAGCATAATAAATCATTTATCTATGACATTTTGGTGGGGGTGGGGAGGTGAAAGAATATAGTCTTTTGTTAATTGACATTGTGTTAGAATTGGTAAATTCTGACTTGTGTGCTAGATACTTTGGCCACCAAATTTAGTCAAGACCTCAGATACCTGGGAAGATGATAGATTGAACATTTATTGAACACATTATATGGTAGTGTGCTAAATGAATAGAAGGTCCCAGACCTCAAAGTGCTTATATTTTAATGAGAGAACACATATAAAGCGGAGCTGGAAAGGGCAGGTATGGATGCAGGGCAGCGTGGTATGGGGATAGCTGGGGAGTGACCTGAAGACCTGATTCAGGGCAAGATAAAATGAAAGCTCACTTATCAGAGCCATGGGATCCAGGGGTGGAAGCCAGGTTACTGGTGGAGGGATGGGAAGTGGGGGGAGGACCTGCAGGTGATGATCTGAGTAGAGAAGACATATTAGAGTATAGGATGTAAAATATTAGGGTGGGAGGGATCTTAGGATGTAGAATGTTAGATCTGAGAGAGATCTCAGAGTCCCACTCCTGTCCTGTTATGGTGTTAAGAAACTCAGGCCCAGAAGAAGGCTCTGGTCCTGTCACTCACTGGCTCCATGACACACTGCTTCACCTTTGTCCAGCATTTTTCCTTTTGGCCTGGAGTGTGCTCTTACTTGATCTTTCCCTGAAAGGCCTCTGGCTGGAGACCAAAACCAACAGCACAGGCTACTTACGATTTAGAAGACAGGAGGGATTTGGTGTTTCTGATCCTAGGAAACAACTTAATGCGGTTTTATTTTACTCCCTTGTAACCGAAATGGGGCCAGTTTTATAAGTCCAGCATTATAGGCACTTTGGGTTAACATAGGACCAGTGTAAAAGCTGCAAATTATAAAACTGTGCATACAGCCAAACTTTGCTCATTCGCATACGTTGAGGGGAAGCCTGTCTGAATTAGCAACAGACCTGAGTTTTAGAAGGTTGCAAAATTGGCGTTTCCTGTTTTTTAAGTATATGTAGTAATATGAACTAATTAGGCCAGTACAGATTTGCCTCTTGCATATTTTTGCACATTGAAAAAAAAATACATGACTTTTATTATGTTCATCCATCTTTCTTGTGGTCTATTTGGTATTTTCCTCTTATATTTATCCTCTCTCCCAAAGAAGCAGATTCCTTCCCTGCAACCTCCTTCTCTCAGAGTAACTCTCTATTTCTGCAGCCCTGTGACCTATTATCTACGTGATCCTTAATACACAATGAAACAAGTAGCCAAAGTAAGGTTACCTCCATTGTAGAAATAAGCAAACTGAAGTTCAGACCTGAATATTCAGACTTGGTCTATTTTCATGGTAGCTAGTATTGCCTCAGTTTCCCTGTCTATAAAAACAGACATAACCATGCTTACCTTGTTTACCTCATAGGGTGCTTGGGATGATCAAAGGGGAGAATGTATTTGGAAATGCTTTATAGACTGTAGGACATTATACAAGTGGAAGGCATCATTATTATTACTTCCAAGTATAATTCCTGCCAGATCTCTTTTACTAAAGAGAGACAAGGGCCCTTTGTGTTTATCACATTGATTTATAACAAGCATTAAGCATTCTTGATGTGCCTATCATTGTGCTAGGTACTATGAAGCAGACAAAAATATGGGACGTGATATCCTTCATTTGTGGGCAGATCAGATATTACTATAAAGTACTCATGTGAGTTGGGGCAGTGCCCCAGTCTTCAGAGGCCTCAGGCCCTGCCTTTGCAAAATGAGGGGGTTAGAAGAGATGGCCCTTTGAAGGTCTGTGCCAGCACTCCCCAGAGGTCTTTTGTTTTAGAAGTGTGTTGAAAGTAATCTGATAGCTTAAGGACATAGAATACTACCCCCCTCATCTTTTGTACTATTCATTTGCATAGTAAACTGTGTTTTCACAGATAATACACAGGGAAAC